CTTGTTCGCCTTTTGCTGCAGGATTGGTATCCTTTTTCTCTTCTAACCTGGCTCGCATCTGACGAGCACTTGGGTCATCAGAGAAGTTCACCCAATGAATAAACTGATCAGTGCTCTCCCAGGATTCGGGGCCGAGGTCACCGTACTGATCTTGTGCAACATCTTCCACTCGGGGAAGTTGTAAACTCCGTAATTCTTCGTCCTGCACTGTGTGCCGGGTGCATGTTGAGGGACAGCGTGTGAACTCAATGTTCCCTGCATTCCAATCGAGTTCAGGGTTATGTTCACGTAGAAACGCCATGCCAATGATGATGTCTTGCCGCCCGATATCTGTGACAAGGAACGACTGCCAAGCGAGGTGATCTCCGATATGGAGTAAACAACGGATGTAGTGTGTGATCAACCCCTTCTTATTCTCGGTGGCGTCTGCATTGAAAACTCGCACTTCACGAGAGAGGCGTCGTAGGGTGAGTCCGTGTTCTTGAACAAACTGGTGGTGGATAAAACAAGAGTAGGCTCCTGAATCGAGGAGGGCTTCTGACTGAACTTCATGCGTACCTTGAGTGAGGAAAACTTTGAGATCGAATGAATTTCGCGGGCGACGTGCTGATGCGAGATAAATAACATTCGAACGCGGAACAAAAGAGTCCTCTAGGTCTACGCTATGATTACAGAGTCGGATACTTTGGTCAGTCTTCAAAGTACCCGTTCCAGAAAATCCTCCTCGGATTCCTTGACCTCGACGATGCATGCGGCGGTCTCAGTTTCCGGTGCCTTGCCCTTGCCTTTTCCCTTGGTCTCAAAGTCCTCGAGGGCCCTGCGGATGTACTCCCATTTGTCTTCATTGGCCGTGTCCATTGTGCGTACCTTGGTCGGAGCGGCCGGTTGCTTCTTCATGTCGGGGAGCTCGTAGTAGCCCGTGTACTGAGGGTTCCGACATTTCTGGCCAGTTGTAAACTTGTGCCTGCCACAGCGGAAACAGAGCTTCTTGTCAAGCCATTCGAGTTGTTCCTTGGAGAGCTTCTCCGGCTTGCGCATTGCGTCGACATCCATGGCATTGGGGTCCCGTGGGGGGCGACTAGTCGTGTGCTGCTGCGAAGACGACTTGGCCTGATTTCCACGAGTTTCCATTTCCAGCTTCAGTACCCAGTCCAGGTAGTGTTCCCATTTCGTCGGAATCAGCATTGGGTTGACCTGCCGCATTGCCGTCATGACTGTCAGAATCTGTGAGTTCTTTCCGACCTGGTTGTCGATGCGACGGATGAGCTCCACGTCGGCGTAACCGGACTTCGATGCGTAGCGGCGGAAGTTTTCGGCAAACTGAAT